TATCAACTCACCAATGAATCCTGCGCCTGTCTTTAGCCAATGCATATGTTATATGTATTTATGTTTTGGTACCCGTCGGGGTTCACCCTACCCCCTTGTGTGCTTCTCCATTCTTCTGGTGGAGTCACATCCCTCTTCAGTGAACTCCTTTTGCTCCTGAGAAGGCTCTTCAGCTCTTGTGTTGCTCCCCGCATGTCGCTGATTTATTCTTCCGTGTTCCAACATGTGCCATTGTGGTAAGCAACCCGTGATGGCTCCATGTAGGCCTTCCTGGCTCTGCCGATCCCTCTCTTATGCAACTAGACTCTACTTAATATTGCCCTCGTACGTCCCGTCGCCCGAAGTCCCCCATGCTTTCTACAAAGGTGTAAATAACATTGCTATAGTTTGCTTTTGTCTAGATCTGGCGTGGGTCTATAATGTTTGTAATGTTATCACTTTTAGCCCTACCTAACGTAGGTACTACTATCTTATATCTTCTCTTAAATATTTCTCTGTTCAACACTCTAAAACCTACATTTTCTGACTCTATTTACCTGTTTCGAACGAAATTTTACCTCCAACAATTGTCTTAACTAACCAAGCTTGTTCTTCTAGTCTGTACGTGTCTATAGTAGGGTTCTGGTTTAACTACTGCCCTACTACTTGTATCTCTAACCGTATAGTTTCGACCACTACTAGAACTACTCTTAGTTGTGTTGTCTGATCCCTTGTCTTTGCCGTCTTAATCCCTCCGGACCTTCTGATTTCGCTCCTGTTCTGCTGATTTCGATCCCTCCGATTCTTTCGATAACTCCTCGTGTTCAGTTGTAGTGTCTTTGTTTGATAATGTTTGCTGCTTTCTAGGAATAATAGCTACTTGCTGAGAAAGCCTGAACCTTTCTAACTGCCTAGCCATACTAGTTCTACTTAGCCTAAAGCGTCGATTGATTCCTTCATATCCTCTTGACTGGTGCTGTTATATCTGCTGTTCGCCCGGTTTCTGTGTTTCTACCGGGCCGCTGTCACTATTTGACAGCAAGGACGGCATCCTGGCACTAGCGTCACTGCTAGTAGAGCCTCTATCGACCTCCTCCGTCGGTAGATTCTGGCGATCTCGTCATCTTGCTGCTCCATCTTGCTTCTGCAGTTACATTCAAAGTTCTTTCTTCGTATAAAAACTAATAAATTTCAATTTAATACTATCAAGTAGCTTAAATAAATAGCTATTTCACAATTATTAATAAACTAACAACTTTCCAAAGTATAGTTAAAAATGTAGTAAGTACACGTCGAGTAACTATATCTCAACGTTCTCCCTCCTCAGGGAGGGGGACATTGTTCATTTATTAATAATTGTAAACAGTAATCCTAAGATTAATGACTCTCAAAATGAGTCATCAGTCATGTGCTGTAAAAACAGCAAAACCCTAAAACCCAGTTTATCAGATTATTCTGATAAACTGTAAAACTTATAATAGACCTAAAATAATCAAATAAACTACGTACTATAGTATTCTGACCACACCTAGCTGCTTTATAAATCTTGGTTCGAAGCGTTCACGAGGCTCACACTCAGTGCTACGGGCTGCTAGTGCCAAGATGGAGTCTATCTCCTTTCTCTTGTTATCGATTAGATAGCGAATGTAATCCGCTTTTTTATCGTCAAGGTCAGAGTCATTCAATAGACGGTCCTCAAGGACTTGCATACCAGAACGTAATAGCCTGAGACGATGTTGTCTGGTTCTCACTTCCTCGTCTTCAGAGCTAGAGTGGGTACTCTCTAGTGAGGTACTGGTATGACGATTACCAAAGTTGTGATTACTAGGGTTAGATGGTAAATGAGGATCGATGTTATGTGGTGGTAAGCCTCATCGACTTCCATACGATCATAGCCTCTGACAGGGTTAGGTTTGTCGAGTAATTTTTTCTTCGGTTTGAAGAATATCGGCCACGTGGGATATGATCGAAGGGTTAGAAACTGCGGCAGCGGCTAGCTCCTTTAAAAGGTCGTCTTTGCGGTTCAAATGGCGTCAAGATTGAAAAGATCCAACCACTCGTAGTCGAGTTATGGCGTCCCCAACATTTGCGTCTTCCGCCCCAACATTCAGTGGCAAGGCATTCAGTGGCGAGGCATTCAATGAAATTTCACGAAATGGGACGCCACCATCTTTGTTAATAGGTGGATTGGGTTGACTTTTAGTAGTAATAAACCGTCGATCTCGAGACGATTCCTCCACTTGTTCAGGAGATATAGCCTTTCCAATATCTGACTTTTCGCGGTCAGATGGCGAGCTGATGCCCTGGGCTGCACTACTAGGAGACACACGGACGCTGGCGAGCCTTTCCGCGCCAGTTGAGACCTCCTCTTCCAAGGCTTTAGGATCCGACGAGTCATCCTCAGAATTTTCCTCAGAACCAAGCTCGGAAACGGCTCCCTCTACAGCTTCAACGGTAGGCTCAGTACCAGACGGACCAGCGTCCCCAGTAACCTCAGGAACCTCAACAGGCTTACCAGGCTTAGAGCTGGCGGCTCCCTGGCCTTTAGAATTTGGAATAGCTCAAGAATAGGAAAATTAAAAGTTTAGGTATAGTAACTAGCGTGTAGTTAACTTTAGGGTAGTATTAGCCACTATGAGGTAGTATAGAATACTTACAGTCCTGTCACTGGATAGTAAGCAATTGTTAGACAGTACAGGAGCAGTACACTACGGTAACTACTAAATAACTGAAAAATATGATAACTTCGATGGATATTTCTATGTTCTAAACTATGTTATAAAAGCTAAGATACAATTTAAGTCAGTTAGGATTTAGCAGTGGTAGCTTGTGTAAGAATGATCGGGTCTGCCTCTTGGCGAGAGCTTTAATATCCTCGATCACACAGGCCGTACCTCTAGCTGTTCTGTATTGAATAATTTTCACTAGAAGTATGAGAGACTACAGGTCTCAGGCCAGATTTTACAGCAAGAAACCATCTTTGATTTATGGAAGTCATCAGAATCAGCTCACTCCCGAGAGCTAATCAAGTTGCTCAAATTACTCTCGAGAGTTGAGTTATTACTTAACCGACTTCCGAGAGCAGATTTAGTTTCTCAACCGATTCCCGAGAGTGGATTAAGCCTGTCAACCACAACATATTACTAATAGCTGCGGTTCTATGTGAGTCACAACCTATGCGGAAAGGCATCATGTGATCAGCGTGAGATTTAGTTGCAGAGAAGTTGAAATAGAAAAACATCGAAGTGTTAAAGTGTTCCGCATAAAGTTTCTCATACTGACCATATGAGTTTTTACCCTGGCCAGCCCAAGCTGCTGAACACTAGCACAAACACCTTAGGTATAAAACCAAAGGTGAGGTCAGAAATAAATACATACATTTGCACTCTTTTTAAAGTCTACTACATTGTACTCTAACAAAGTAATAAATGTTCATGACCACATGTCTAATTTGTAGGTAGACATAAGAACGTAAGTCAAGTTAATACATTGGCTAAAATAAATAAAGTTCCATCTGAAGAAAATTAAAAAATAGAAAAAGACTTATTGGATTTTGGAGATTGGCGGGAAGACCAAAACCTGTAAGTAGTAGTTCAGAGATTATAAAATTTAGTTTATGATATCTTACATCTACTATCGTCTCAAATAGGTCCAAGTAAATGAGTCATACCAAATACTCCGGCTATTGGAGCCATCAAAGTGAATTTAGAACACTTTGGAAATATTGGAAAGAAAACTTGTATTAAATTATTTTAAATACAAATAAAAACCAATGTGTTATCTCATTTGATCTTGATATTTTAGACTGACCGGAGGCCATATTTCTACAGAGCTACAAAATCCGAGCCGAGATACAACAACGGTCGATTGATAAACTGAAAGATGGACTAGCCGACAACCCTGACACATTACTTGTAATTACCGATCACAAACAAAAGGTATGTATATATATTCACCTTCCAATCCTACTTCTAGTCCCACACCTGTTTTACTACTTCCACTCCCACAACTTATCGGTCGTGAATTCTGATATACTATCCATCCCATTCATACTCGCAGATTCTTCCTATGGAAAAGAATGAAGGGCAAAGTGAATACTTTGGCAAATCAGGGATGTCTCTTATAGGGTTTATGCTCGTGCGGGGTGAATACAAGGTACAATCTGGGGACGAAGAACCAACCAAGCACGTACAGACATCGTTTTTTGATTATATACCGGACGCAAGACGCACCGTCTGTCGTGCTCGCTATTGAAGCACTACTTTACCACGTGCGGAAGACGATGCCCAATATTACCAGTATAGTGATGCAGTCAGACAATGCGTCCGCATTTTCCAACTCCCTACATCACACCACTACACCTCAGATGCAATCACCTGATGGTAAGCTCAAGATAACGCGAGAGATTTCCACAGAGGCGCAAGCGGAAAACAGCGCTTGACACACATTTCGCGTATGTGAATATCGTGCTACAAAGATTTGTAGACGGCCACGATGTAAAATCAAACAAAGGTGGTTGTATATGTACGCCTGCAAATATCTACAGGGCGCTATGTTACCAAGAAGGAATAACTGGTAGCTCTGTGGCTATTAGACCGCGTGACAATTCCAGCGTGAAGTATGTTGTCCAAACTACTGGAGATACTACCCTTAGAGATACTGCCACTAGAGATACTACTAGCACTGGCGATGAGAGGACGTGTGCAGCAGGTACAAATTGTGAAAAGCCCGGTGATTCATTAGTAGTTCCCGAAGGTGGAAAACATACCTGCAAAGGCTGTGCTCGTCCTATTCATGCGATCTGCGATCACGAAGATCCGAGCTCTGACGATACTACCTCGGCCTTAAGGTTTTGTAACGGTAAAGCTAAAGAATGTATGTCTGAAGTTTATAAGTCGGAACATGAGATAGAACAAGAAACTGTACTTTATAGGGAAAAAGGAATACCGGGGGAACTTGTGAAACAACCGACTGTACACTTTGGAACCACGTTGTCGGAACATCACAGCTACAAATCTCAGATGGAGAATGCTATGCGAAAAACACGCGTTCATGACATTGAATGGGATGGATTCCGACACGTACAACTATCGGAACAAAGTGGGGTATGTAAAGTGCAAATAGTAGTAGAAGCAAAAGTGCAAGTAGTAGTAGAAGCAAAAGTGCAAGTAGTAGTAGAAGCAAAAGTGCAAGTAGTAGAGAAGCAAAGTACAAGTAGTAGTAGAAGTAAAAGTGCAAGTAGTTTTAGAAATAAAAGTACAAGTAGTAAAACAAGTAACGCTCATATCATATATTTCCTACCTCGTTCAACACCAGTCGCTGGCAGAATTGATTGAAGAATTGGCTTTGCCAGAAGGTCTTCAACCGCGCATAGATTCAGGGAAAATGACATTACACCACCATCAAAGTCCAGTACCTGCAGTGTGGAAGCCGATTGTATCAAGTAAGGGAGCGGTAGTAAAAGACAAAGAGATTGTGGGTGAAAAGGCTAATGCTATTAGTTCCACACCGGATATGTTTCAACATGGGGTGGCGACACTGCATGAGATCTCATCAGAAACGATGCTGAATATAGTCCAACCTCGATGGGCCAGGAAACCCCTTCAAAAACCGAAAGTAACTTTTGCAGCCGTGGTACGAAAAGTTTTGATACAACTTTATGTACAGGGAGTAGACGACACTAGCAAGCGTGTTAGTTCTGAAGCAGCACTGCAGATTTTAAGACAAAACGTAATCACATACGATTGGTATCAACGTATGATTGTCACCAGTCCTAAAATCAAGGGTTTCTTTGGGGGTAAGCCCAAATTGCAGAATCAGTATAAAAAGCTGACGATAGGAGATTTAAAACGTAGACTGGACTCAGAAAACATTTTTTATTGACCATTAGCGAACAAGACCGAGCTGACAGAACTTCTACGTGTTAATGGGATTGGATTGGAAGGTATGTTGCCTAAGCCTACTTCTACGGCTATACCGAGTTCTACTACTGCTTCTACGGCTACTCCGAGTTCTACTACCACTACTACTACAAACATGTCGTCCCCACCGGGACCTATACCAAATATAATAGGACAAAGACCAGATGAGACACAGTCCTCCGACAATCATGGGCCCCATGAAGGTAAATTCTTGATTACATTCTCTGTTCTATTATACCTGCTACAGGTCCCAATATATATGGTATCGATAGTAGTTATTGTTCAGATGTAGTAGTAGTACCAGCGGATGTAGTAGCAGTAGTAGCCGTTGTAGTATATATATGTATATATATATATATATATATATATATATATATATATATATATATATATATATATATATATATATATTATATATTATATATATATTATATATATATATATATATATATA